TCAGCCCAGGGATCCCCCTTAGACCTTCAATTTTGCATCCTGCAGCCCTATCACTAGGCCTACTAGCATTATTATCACTAGTACTACTACTACTACTACGACGACGACTACTACTACTACCACTACGACGACTACGACTACTACTACTACTACTACTACTACCACCACTATTTCCTTTAGTTTCACTACGGTTGTTACAGTCTTATTACCCTTAGTATTTTCCCGAGTGTTACTGGTATTGTATGATTATGATTAAAATTAGCACATCCTCAACCTGCCGGTGTGTCCATAATGGCGCGGCGGTTCCGGGACGACTCGCGTCGCCCGCCTCTTGGCGACCTTTCTCTCTTGTGGTTTCAAAGTTAGTTTAGGGTTTAGGGCTTAAGGTTTCGGATTAGTTCTCAAAGGATAGAGGAGTGTTGGCCCTTGGGCGTTCTGAGCAAACAGTGTAGGGTTTTGGTCTGGATATATTTGCGGTACTTGATACTTACATGTTGGTACGCATATCTTGGAGCTTTTCAATGTTGCTCGGAAAAAACCCTATAAACCCTATAAAACCTATAAACCCTATAAACCCTATAAAGCCCTAAGCCTATCAACCCTAGTAGGCACCACCCCCATTGTTCATCCTCGTGGAATTCTCCTATGCGCATTCTGCTTTCTGACAAACACCCATCTAAGGGAGTCCATATCGGCCTGTTTGCTATTGTAGTATACTACAGTATATTATAGTCGATTATAGTATAGTATAGTATATTATAGTATACTGCAGTATATTACTGTAGTATATTCTAGAACCTCAATCGAGCAGCCGCAGTTGGCAAAGAGTGAGCTTCGGGCCCTGAACCCAAAGGCGCGACCCAGCTGTGAAAAAGTACTATCCGTATCCTTCAAGATTGGCAGTCGTGGTAGCTTAAGGTTCCAAGGACCCAAATAATAGGGTTTTAGGGCCCAAATTCTATTGATATCATAGTATCTGGGCCCTGAAACCCTATCATTTGGGTACTTGGCCCTTAACGTTATGCATGTTGTTACTTACTACGTGTGTCTCTTTGTGAGTGTTTAAACCGGCTGCTTTGTTAATCTCAGGTTCAGCGGATTTTTGTGATAATCTCCCAGTCTGTCCATTTCGTGTAGGGTTCTCCGCGCAAGAGTTACGGCCATCTTCAAAGGGACATACGTTGATATGGGCCCATGCTCCACTTGTAATGAATCCTTTTCTGAGAGCATCGGCCTTCCAGAGCATCCATGCCCAAACAATCGCAACCTCCAAGAGGTCTCATGCCTGTTCCTGTGCAGGCAGACTTTAAGCCCTGACGCCGGCAGCTTGCAATCTTTTGAAGCAAGAACGCATGCAAGCAAAACGGGATTCTGGACGCCTGTGCATGATCTTCTTTCATTAGAGCCTCCGCGCCCCAAACCCTAAACCCCAAACGGTTGCCCTAAACCCAGATGCCATGAATCTTAGGAGCCCAATCCCTAAAGTCCCCAAACCCTAAACCCCAAACCTTTAGCCCTAAACTTGCCCTAAACCTCGAGGTCAGAGATGCCATCATGCAAGGCAAAGGTGGTAAAGCAACGGGTCCTGATTGCATACCCACTGAACTACTCAAGAGTATGATGCAGCATGAGGCCTCGGTTGATGCATTTACTGCCTACGTCAACCACATCCTATCATCAGGCGAGGTGCCAACGTCATGAGACGAATCAGTGGTGACATTCATCCCTAAGGTGATGCCTCCTTCTGCTCCAAAACAACTTCGGCCAATTGCTTTGGCCTCACACATTTCTAAGGCATATGCGCGTCTCGTGGTACAAAGGCTGGCGGAGGACCTTAGACGACAAGGTGAACCGTCAAGCAACCGATTTCATATGGTCATCGAGTCGACTTACTCACCTTTGTCCTGAATGGCACACGGATTGCTTCCTGTTGAAGTTGGATTTGCAGCGAGCATGTGACTCCGTGCACGGAGTTCGTCTTGCAGCTAACATTTGTGAACGGTCTGGACATGCTAAGCCCTACGAAGCCAGAAGCTTAGTGCGCCTGCTTGCCAGTACTGACCTTGTCCTGCAGTTGCCCTGGGAACTGCGCGCAATTGTTTCGAATGTGGGGGTGAAGCAGGGTGCTACAGAAAGCCCTTTGTTTTTCGCCAGACTCCTGGATGACCTATAGTGTGCTCTGTCAACGGGGCCAGTGACGACATGATCGTGCATGACTTACCCCATGACGGTGCGGTTTGCATAGACGACGTGTTAGCATGGAAGCGGTCCATTGCAGGGTTGCAGCGATTCGTCGATAAACTGTTGCCACTGCTTCTCCATTACGGTCTGGTGGTTCAACCTGCCAAGTGCAAGCTCGTCTGCCTCAAGGGGTTTAGGGCAAGACTGCTGATTCTGGAGGGCAAAGAGCTTTCTCCCGTTCCCCCTGAGGAGGTGCTCATGATTATGAATCTGCCGGTAGGGTTTGAGTCCACGGAACAAAGCCTTCTGGAGGCAATGGTAGACAAGGCTCGATGAAAATTCGTCGGCATCCTGCATATCCTCTGCTCGTCGGCCCACTTGGCGTCCCGCATGAAAGTCCTGGACTCAGTTGTCTTTGGTTCGCTTAGATGGTGCCTGGAAGCTCTGGTGCCCACCGCCCAGGCGCAGCAATTGCTGAACAGTTTCCAATACAACTGTGTTAGGAGAATGCTGGGTATACGGAGAGGCGGAGGAGAATCCTGGCTGGAGTTTTAAACAAGAAGCCTCCGAATCGCACGAGCAAAGGTCTACCAAATGCAGCAAGTGAGATGGGGTGACAAGCACCTCTCGGCATGCTGGCTTTACATTGGGCACCTGGTCAGGGAGGGGCAGGAAATGCAGCCATCTGTGGCGGGAGCACTTGCAGCATTTAGGGACCTGCCTTGGTGGGAACAACAACAGGAGCAGCAGCAGGGGAAGCGGCGGGGAGCAGTGCCTGGAGAGTGGTGGCTTGCAATAGGGCACAGTGGAAAGGTGGAAGGGTTTCCAGCAGACGTGGGTAAGCCAAGCGAGAGTTCCGTGGTCGTCGGGTAGGCAGCCATCCTTGACAATGTGAATGTGATGGTGGGCGTGAACCGGCGCCGGGGTTTTAGCTCTGCTGTGAAAGCACTGCCCTTTTGCGTAGTTCTGGATCCCAGCAATGGCTGGCGGCACGTTGTACAAGTACCTCTATGTGTTTCTCCTCGGGGACTTCTTGACCCGAGGACAATGTTCAGACCACACTACGGAGTTTCCCCAAGGGACCTCGTCAATTCGCGCAGTGCTTCCTCTTGATGATGAAGCGCAAACGACATCAATCTTGAGTGTGACCTCGGAGCACTGGCAAAAGCAGAAACATACCTTCGAGTCCATGTATACCGCGCAACCCCCCTTCATGATTGACTTTATGCAGAACAAGATGGTTGACGTAGCCTCGCCGACCCCACATGATCGCCTGGGCAAAACAAGGCCGGCGCTGGAATTGGCCGAGCAGAAGTACCTGTGAAGAAGACCAATAAGGAAGTGCTGCAACCTCGTGGTCAAACGACCATGTGGGAGACTGAGGACCAGAAGGAAAAGACGCTTAAAGTTGCTCGGAATGACTCAGGACTGCCAGCATAAGTTGCTCACAACCGTGGTCATGCTTGACTCCACGCAGGGCGACAAGTGCGCGAAAGGCAACACCGGGAATAAAGGGCATGACTATGTGATGGATACCAAGGAGAAGATGTTCGAGTTTGGAATGCGAGTGGCTGCGCTGGAGATTTGGGATCCAGAAGCGAAGATGGAAAGTGGAAAGGGCCTTGTACAAGGTCAAGGGAGTGAAGATGCTGCTGACGCAATAAGCTTCATGCAGAGGAAAAGAGGAAGATCCCCAACACCGAGAAGACGTCGCAGACAGCGAGCACCAAGAGAGGGGGACAGAGCAAGACACGAGCGGAGGCATGGTTGGACAATAGGAGCGGGAAGCTCTAGAGCAGTCACGGAGACATGCTCTAGAAGACCGGTGTGAGCTCCATTCAGGCGAAACGGAGTCACGACAACCGGGGGGGCGCGGAGACCTTCGGCGGCGCCTATGGTGGCATCGTCAAGCAGCGCACCGTTCCCCATCCTGAGGGAACCGTGGGAGCCAATGTCCTATGGTCGGAAGTGGTTGGCCTCAACGAACCTATGGAAGAAGTTGACAGATTGCTGGGTGATGAAACGGTCGAAACCATTGTCTCGAACCTGAGGGATATGGAAGCCCAGCAACGGACTCGCGTGATTGCTGAGCGAGTACCCTTCAGAGGTGCTTTTCTTGTTGAACTAATGCGGACGATCAACATGGCCACGTCACAACAGGAACATGAGCCCACCGTCGTTGAGGATGATGACAGTGCACTGTTGCAAATGGATGTACGTGGAGGCGGGGGCAGACAAGCAGGAGATGCTCAATCCCTGATGCAGGTCTCTGTCGATCCTGCGATCCCCTTTGGATCGAAGCTGGCCCAGCTACAAGCACGCCTCAACAGCATGGATGAAGTGCAGTGCATCACACCTACAAATTATGATATCCAGACTTAGACGGCTGGCGGGAGGGCTGACCAAGCAAAGAAAGGATAGGTTTGAAAGACTGGAAGCACGACTGGCTACATACCACATGGGATCTGTTGAGACCCTGCTGTCGTTGCAGATCTGGGGAGAGCACCAGCTGCAGGTTCTGGTGCCGTATCTTGGAGGTGGCATGGGGCGTACTCCTGGACTCAAAGATGCGAATGATGCAAACCAAATTACATCGACAGCAGCGAGTTCCACAGATGTCGTCTACGTCAAAGACTATAAGGACGGGACCACCGGAGGAAATACCCGAATACCGAGTTCGCAGGGTAGAGGATGGACCATGGGAGACGGCTACGGAACAAGAAGCTGCGGAATTTCGTGCTCATGACGAATCTATGGCGGCGGAAGCGGAAGCACAAGAAGCCAGGAGTGCGGAAAATTATCAACAATTTGCGGCCTCCATGGCACAACAGTGGGACGACTGGGCAATGCTGAACTGGATCCATATCGCTTCCAACAATCATGACCAGACTGCAATGGTGACTTTCCAAGTCACGGAAACGCTGCTGGGAGGAATCACTGAGGAGCCGTCGATGGAGCTTGGGCCGCAGGCTGTTGCGGCGAATGCTAGTCCCCAACTTGCTGACTTCGACCCAGAATACCTGCCGGGGTTGAGTGGTGCGACGGTGGCCTTCATGAAGACGCAAGAAGCCAGACATTGGGTCTACAGGTTCATGGAAGGGCTAGCCACCGATGCCATGATCCAGAATCGATTTGGGGCGGAAGTTGCGGAGATTTTCCACATGTGGGTAGCTGTGAGAGATAATGTGGACATGGAAGTACGTAATTGCCTAGCAGCAGGTGGTGACTTGGCACCAGTGGCATCCGCGGTGGGAGAAGAAGCTGCTGCTGAGTCCGATAAGTCAACGGTGATGGTGGATGGTGATGGAGGGTTGCATGCGTCTCAGATGCACACTGGAGTGAGTCACATCATGCCAGAGGGTGAAGCTGGGGCTACTCGTGAAGATGATGGAAGTGAAGGGTCTTCTGCTGCAAGCCATGCTGAGAATATGGAAAGATGCCCTGGCGCGGATTGTGCTGGAACAAATGGAGTTGCTGCCGGTGCAGAAATTGCTGGCGGAGTTGTTCGAGACGCTGCAGGCCCCAGGTATCGCCGGAGAAAGGGATTATCGAGTACCTGAGGGAGATCTTAATGCTGAGAACTATGCGGGTGTCATGTCTGAGGCAAACGACCTTGGCAATGAGCATGCGCAGATGGAGGAAAACTGCATTCCCGCAAGGTGGAGCGAGGTGTTTAGAGCCTGGAATACTGACATGAGCTTGGGTGTCGGGCTTCCGCATGGGCATGAAGGCTCTATCAGTGATGGGTGCAACACGAATCAGATGTGGTGGATGGCGCTGCTGGAGACGAGCGACCGGGGAGTGAGCTTCCAAGTGCGGCGTCTTCTGAGCGGGGTGAGTCTAGCGATGGTAAGAAACACACGAAGCTGACAGGTGAGTTTGTTACAACCTGAGCTGTTTCCAACGTTTCGTGTTGTGCTCAGATGCGCTGAGTACGTGAGTGACTGGTGGTACGGGCCGACTCACAAACTTTTGGGGGACCGTGCTGCAAGCATTTCTGTAGACCTTCGGGCTGCGGAGAAAAGGTCCAATAAACAAAAAGGCATGGATGCCATAAATCCTGGAAGCCCAATCCCTAAAGTCCTTAGTCTTTAAACCCCAAAACCTAAACGCCCAAAGCATTAGCCCTGAACCCCGGCGGTGCCATATCTTAGAAGCCCAATCCCTAGGGTCCCTACACCCCAAACCCTAAACCTTTGATTTAAGGTTTAGGGTACACCCTAAACGTTTATTCACCCTAAACTTTAAACCTTAAACCCTAGACCTCAACCACCAACGGCTAGTCCCAGTACCAAAATCTTCCACTACGCCTCTCCACAGAAACCAAGTAGTCATAAAGACGGTATTTGTGCTGTTAAGAGCCTTAAACCAAAGCTGTAAAGTTCTGAATCCCAAAAGCCTGAAGCCCTAAACTCCGTAAGCTCAAAAGCCACTCAATGCTACAGGCCTAAAACCACAACGCTGTGTACCCGAAAACCTTAAACCGCACCCCATATGCAGTCTGCCAGGATGCTGTCTCTAAAGTTACAGTAGAGAAGCTTGTCCTCACTTCATTTTCATTTCTAAGCTTGTGAGCCCTAAGAACCTTAAACACTCAACCCTAAACTCCTTCGTAGGGGTTGGGGGTTAACTCTAGAATTACGAGCCGTGGGCCCTAAACCCTAAACCCGTATCATCCTTGGGGGTGAGAGCCTAGGCCTCCCCGATCGCGTCGGAGCTCGCGGTCGCCGCTGCCCGCGCAGCGGCGGGCGCGGTGTGCAACTTGGATCATGATGAGCTCACTGGTGCTTACGGGGAAAACCCTAGACCCCAAACCCTGGGATTATAAGTGGAAAGCTCTAGACTCTAAACCCTAATCCTTGGGATTATCCTGAACTCATTGGTGTTTAAGGGGCGAATGGCGATGCTCACCTAAGCACTGGTAAGTTGCCAAGGGCTTACAGTAGGGGGTGCTACTCGGGTTTTGAGTTCCAGGTCCCTCCACAGGATAGGGTTGGGCATAGGGTTTGGGTCAGTCAAAGGTTAAAAGTATGGGCCCTTGATATGGGCCCCTGGGCCTTTTAGGGGGATTCTGGGAACCTTCAAGGGTACGTATAGGGTACATAGTAAGTATATTAAGGATTCCAGGGTTAAGGGAATCAGGGCTGACCTTGATAATGTGAGACGTGCTGTGCAACCCCTGCACCCTAGGCCCGTAGCCTAGCGGTCGGAACCGTGTTGTGGCCGTCTTGCAAAATTAAGAGTACCTCTCTGGGGCTTCTTTCGTGATGTTTCTTGAGGTGTAGAATTTAGGGTTTAAGGTTTAGGGTTTAGGGTGTAGAAGAGAGACCGCCTTTTCTAGGAAACCCCTGCAAGGGTTTCGTGTGTAGAGTCTATTCGATCAGCTCCAGGACCTTAGGATTTGTTCCATGTTTATCGGGACATCTAGACCCTAAACACTAAAGGTCAGGATTTTCGGAGTGGGGCCCAGGATTTTGGCTGTTGGGGGAAGGTTGTTTGGACCAGGTTACGCTTCAGAGTCTTCAGGGAGAAAGTTTGCGGAGATTCCATCGATAGGGGGTTTAGGGTTTAGGGTTTGGGCTGTGAAAAATACAGGATGGACCTAGAAATAATGAAAAAAGCAAAGTACTATATATTATTTAGGGTTCAGGGTTTTGGGTTTTGGGTTTTGGTAGGTTTGGGAGTTTAGAGGTGAAGCTCAGGAGGGCTTGTGATTACAGCTGAGGCACGGTGGCTAGCATTTATCGATGTCATGTTTCATTAACAGTTAGATGATGCTGGTACTAACTTGGCAGTAGCTGGAGTGGAGGCTGCATCTACGGGCCCTCTAACAACGAGACTGTGGACACCCTAAACCCTAGACCGGAAATCAACAACATTTGTCAAGGCTGCTGAGCTTTGATTTCACAGCTTTCTGCAACTCCTTTTCTCCTTCCCTGCGCAGCACTGCGGAGTCATTTTCCCAAGGGCGCGTACCACGATTCCTGCAAGCCCTAGTCGCTTTGCCTTGACTATGCACCCTCAAACCCTGGACACCAAGTGCTACTCACCCCAACCTCCAACCTCAACCCCTATATAACCCTATACCCTGTATTGCCCTATGTTACCATAGATTATCCCAAGTATATTATCCCAACCTCAAGCCTTAAACATAATTCCCCAAACCCTAGCTGCAACCCGAAACTTTTCAAAGCCAAAGGCAGCCGGTTTAGGATTTAGGGTTCAGGGTTTAGGGGAGGCTTTAGACCTTAATTCCCTAAACCCTAAACCCTAAATTCTAAAAGTCTGGCAGAGCCCCAGGCGAGCATTGACGCTGGCGCATACTCGGACTACAGTTACAGCAGCCCGGCATGCTTTCTGTAGTCTCCTTTGGCGTTAGTATTTTAAAATAATATAAAAAAAAACCTTAAGGAATTGTTGATAAAACTTCTTCGATTATTAAGGAATTATGGAGAATGTTGTTTATTATAGGTCTAAGGGGACTACAGTGTTTTTGGCAGACGTTTCCTCCAATTCCTGTGCCGGTATAGAGCCTTGGAGCTACATTCTACAATGATCTTACCCTAAACCCTAAAGCCGAAACCCTAAACCCTAATTTACTTAACCGGCTTCTGCACTTAGTTTCGATCAGGGTTGCAGGATTAGTGTTTAGGTTTGACAGGGTTGGGGTTTAGGATTTAGGGTTGGGGTTTAGGGTCTAGTGTTTAGGGTTTAGGGTTTAGGGGTTTAGGGTAAAACCGCGGTCAATATCAGCTTCCATGTTTGATGGGGGGAAGGGTAGAATTCGGGGTTGAGGTCTGGAATTGGCGTGTGATTTTCTGAGCTTTGACGCTTGAAATCGATTGCTCTATGAATTGGGTTGTTCTCAAAATTATGGGCCGCCCGGGGTTGTAGACAATATTACGGCACCTGGTACCAAACCGGGACCCTAATTTTGGGAACTACCCATTCCACACAGCAAGAAGGGCATGATAGCTGCGTTCCATAAGTACCATATTCTCATCAGCTTCAATGATATGAGCTATAGTCTGAACTCCTTAGAGCGGGTTACATAGGGGATTGTATGGAGAAGTATTATAAGGGTTCTTGAGGTGGCAACCATTTTTCTGGGTCAGAGTATGGCTTAGCGTTTTTGGTCTTTTGAGGGGTCGTTCCCTGGGTTTAGGGTTTAGGTCGTTCCCTTAAGACCGGTAGCGTAACCCCAAAGGGACTCCTGGCTGTGAGGTTCCCACCACAACACATTCCAATAGCGACTTTGACAATACATGGGCCAACAAGTGAAATGAGAAACAAGAGGACTACATGAGACGTACATGTATACTTAGATGTGGATGGGCATTTGTGGATTCCTTTGTGCCGCTAGTCAAGGATATACAGAGCTTAAGACCTTTCATGAGAGTTGGATCATAAGACCAGAATGTGCAGCGGTCAGACCATTTCCAGGAATTTCATAACCTGGTCCCTGGGTGGCATAGACTGAGTCTTGAACTGAACCCTAAACCCTAAACCCTAAACCTGCCTACAAGATTGATAGTGCGACCGTGCTTCTTGAGCTCTAAGCATCTTTTCTGAAGCTTGCCTTGGCGAAACTCAGGAAACAAACCCTAAACCCTAAATCGTAAACCCTAAACCCTAATCCCCAAACTCTTAACCCTTCAACCTACTGCTGCTGGTTTAGCGTCTGGGTTTAGGGTTGGGAGGTGTTGTTCGTCCTAATTGCCTATATGCGGGGTTGTCAAATTGTGGGTCCCTTCTGGGTACCCTACATATTAGGGCCGTAATATGCGTGGTAATACAATTGAGATCCTTTTCGACAGCCTACCATGTAGTGTTTACGGTCTGGAATTTTGGTTCAGGGCTTAGTTTTTCCACGGCAATGATTGTTTAACAGTTATGTAATTCATGTAGGGTTTAGATTTCGTAGTCCTTTGAAAGCCCTATATGAGCTATAGGCTAAACTCCTAATATCCTCGTGAATACCCTATATATAATCCCCTATCTAACCCCCTTTAGGGAGTTTAGACTACAGCTCATATGCCCTTAGAGTCCCTAAACCCTAGACCCTAAATCCTAAACCCTTAACCCCTAAACCCCTACAGTTACACCCTTAACCCTGAACCCAAAAAGGGCAAGTCATTATCGGACTGGTAGGCTTGATATGAGCTATGGTCTGAACTCCTCAAGGGGTTTTATGCACAGGGGACTATGTCGGAGAGTATGATAGGAGTCACTAAGGGGAATACTAGGAGTTTAGACTGCAGCCCATATAGGTGTGATGGGCTTCGGATTTATGGTTTAATGCTTCCTGACTTTGAAGTGCCATTGCCTGGGTTATCAGTAGGCAAAATTTCTGAATCAACGACAAATATTACTATTACTTTTACTTTTACTACTACTTCACCATTACTGTTACTAAGAGGGTTCATACCTGCAGGCTATTATGATGACTTTGAAGACCCATACTTGGACCGCCGGAGGCAGGCGTGGAGTTTAGGCTGTAGCATTTGCAGCTTTCTTGGTTTGTCTTGGGTGGCTCTGACTTAGTGCTGCTGGGAGTGTGAAGGTAGAGGCAATGCCATCTTTTCATTGTTCTCCGTGGACCCCCCACCCAGTAATAGTCACGATTAGTCACTATAAGGGGTCCTCCTAAGGGATCCATTGCTTCATTG